AGGGAGCTCGCGCCAGAATCCTTGCCGCCGGAGGAGAAATCATCACCCTTGACCAACTTGCCCTCAGATCACCAAAGGGAGAGAACACCGTCTTCCTCCAGGTAACTATTTCTCATCAAACTGGTGGAGGATCAGGGGAGACAACTCACTTTGGAGAATTGGCGGATACTCCCTGGTGTCATTTCGTGCCCAGGGGGGTCCCGCCGATTCTCCAAATTGCGTTTTCTCCCCTGATCCCCCCCGTCACAGTTGGCTGAGTTCGTTTCCTTCATATTTCTCTATTTTTACAGGGACCACGTTCAGCTCGCGAAGCCGAGAAGCACTTCGGACCAGCTCCAGGAGTGCCACACTCTCACACCAAGCCACACGTCAGATCCAAGGGACGCAAGTTCGAGCGCGCTCGTGGACGCAGAGCTTCCAGAGCCTACAAGAACTAAGTTGTTGTTATTTTGTTCACATGGTTCTCATTTTCGAATCATGCCGAATAAAACTGTGTCAATATTTAATGTTTTTCTGTTCTCGACAAAATTTGTTGTTTTTTTTTACTCCAGGTATTCCCATATTCGCAAAATACCTAACAGGCAAACATAAAAAAACACGAAAATAGAATTGTGCTGAAGTGTCTCAAAACTGTCGGAGACTTCTTCCAAGAATGGGTTATGAGGGGATGTGACCTCTACTAAAAGTCCTTTAGTTAAGTGACATGTCAAGGTTTCAAACTTTTTCGTCGTCTATTCGATAGTTGTTCTTTTTCCCTTCTAACAAAGGGCATGCTGCCTGCGAGAGAAGAGCGGGGAGGGTGGCAGAGAAAACGAGAGTGCACATCGCGTTGGCGCATCAACGTGGCAACTACATAGCGGCAAATGTATCTCTTTCATGTGCAAGCCCCTCAAATACCATTTTTGCATGCAATATTTGCTTTATCTCGTGGATTATCTAGCTTACTCTTGTCTTTCTCCCTTTCCTTTTTACAAAAATGGTCACCCACTTTATCGGTTTTCAGAACAGAATGGGTTTAAGCCGATACTTAAGCCGGCGGCACCATTGGGTCATACAGTACTGCGCGCTGCTTCTCTTCCTCTATTTTATCTATTCCTATGTGGCTGTATCGAACGATGCGCCACGTCTAAACGAGGAGATTCCAGTGTTCCGTGAGTTTTCAGAAGATTTGCCACAAGGTTCTAGAAAGTTTCCAGAGCAAAAGCCGGCAGCAGCACTGGGTGACGAGGCGCTGGACCCATTTGAAAAGTATCGAGGGCATGAGAAAATTGTAATTTTTTATATTTTTTAATTTTTCTAAAAAAATTCGGGAATCTTCTAGAAATGGGAAGACGAGGTGGCCTACGAAAAAGACAAAGCCCGGGAGGGTCCAGGCGAGTGGGGCAAGCCTGTCAAGCTTCCCGACGATAAGGAGACCGAAAAGGAGGCGGTAAATTCAAAATTTTCCAATTTTTTGGATTTTTGTAAATTTTCTAGCTCTCACTGTACAAAGCCAATGGATACAACGCCTATATTTCGGACATGATCTCGCTGAATCGATCGATTAAGGATATTCGACACAAGGAGTGCAAAAAGATGACGTATTCGGCAAAATTGCCGACGGTCTCCGTCATTTTTCCGTTTCACGAAGAGGTGCGGAATTTAGAGAAATTAACTCATTTGCCACGTGGCAAAGGGCTAAAAAGACCAAAAAAATTCGGATAAATTGACCCAAAAAATAGGAAAATCGGCCGAAATAGGGATATGTCAAGTGGCAAATTCGAGATTTCTTTAGCGAATTTTCAAGTCAATGACCCAAAAGTCCAAAAAATTAAGCCAAAAATCCGGGAAAATCGACCAAATCTTGAAAAAAACCATTTTGCCACGTGGCAAGAACCAATAATGACCTAAAAAATGCTAAAACTTGAGAAAGATTGACCCAAAAAGAGTCTGAAAATTTGCATTCAAATAGGCAAATCTCGAATTTGCCAAGTGGCAAATTCGAGATTTCTTTAGCGATTTTTCAGGTCATTTTTCGAGAATTAGCGATCTTGCCACGTGGCAAAGGGGTCTAAAATGACCCGTAAAAGCAGAAAAATTGACTCAAAAATCGGAAAAATTGACCCAAAAATCCGGAAAATTTGACATTTCACTAGCGATCATTTGACCTAAAATGTGTTTATTTTCGAAAATTTGAAAAATTCGGCTGAAAACCTATATTTGCCACGTGGCGAGAACCGATAATAAATCTTAAAAATGCCGGAAATCAATCTGAAAATTGGGAAAAATTGACCCAAAAATGGCTGAAATTTCAGAAAATTTGCATTCAATTCCAGATTTTTCAGATTTTTTAATAAAAGATTTAGGTCGAGTTTTCCAAATTTTTTGTTTTTTTTCAATTACTAAATTAATCAAAAAATGGACGAAATCTCAAAATTCGTCAATTTTTAGCTGAAAATCGCGTATTTTCGAGCAGAATTCTGCAGAAATGCTCAATTTAAGCACAAAAATCCCAAAAAATTTGGATTTCCAGCACAACTCCACCCTCCTCCGATCCGTGTATTCTGTAATCAATCGATCGCCACCTGAACTATTGAAAGAAATCATTTTGGTTGATGATTTCAGTGAGAAACCAGCACTACGACAACCGCTGGAAGACTTTTTGAAGAAGAACAAAATCGATCATATTGTCAAGATTTTGAGAACAAAGTGAGTGAAAATGGAGAAATTTGTGTTTGAAAATTGCTAAAAAATCGTCAAAAATTTTGAATTTTTCATGAAAAAAATCATATTTTCAATCTCGAAAAATGGCAATTCTGGAACTAAAAATGCTGGAAATTTTTCTAAATTTTTTCCCCACATTTCAGTGCAAAAATCAAGTTTCTAGCTCCATTTTAAAGCGAGCTACAGCCGGAGGCGCGCTCAGCTGGAGGTGATCAGCGGCTGGCGCGACAGGGCGCTGCCACTGTCGCGCGCGCGCCGCTCACTACCTCTGCCTGCTTGCGCTTTACGGACAGATTGTGCAGTAACTCGCTTTAGAATCAAGCTACAAACTTGATTTTTCCACTAAATTATGATTTTTTGAATTTTTAGAATTTTCGAGTTTTTTTGTTTTCGAATTCTCTCATTTTTCAAATTTCGAAATTTGGATTTCAAAAAAAATTTGAGTTTCCGAATTTACGAATTTTCAATTTTTCTGAAATTTGCGAATTGTTTGGAATTTTTTGATTTTTTGAATTTTTGAAAATTTTCAAGATGATCGAACTTTCGAATTTTTCATCAATTTTAGTAATAAATCGTCAAATTTATACCTAAAAATCGCATATTTTTCACCCAAAATGATCCTAAGTTTCCAGAAAAATCCAAAATTTTAAAAATGGTTATTTTTTTCAAATTTTGTAATTTTTCGAATTTTTATCAATTTTTAGTTATAAATCACAAGTTTTCGACTTGAAAATCGCATAACATTGCCCACCTTATTTCTGAACATTTTCCCCACATTTTAGTGCTAAAATCAAGTTTCTAGCTCCATTTTGAAGCGAGCTACAGCCGGAGGCGCGCTCAGCTGGAGGTGATCAGCGGCTGGCGCGACAGGGCGCTGTCACTGTCGCGCGCGCCGCTTACTACCTCTGCCTGCTTGCGCCCTACGGACAAATTGTGCCATAACTTCGCTCGCTTCCCAGAAAACGCGAAGGCCTAATCCGTGGTCGTCAATTGGGCGCTCAAGAAGCCACCGGCGAGATTCTGATCTTCCTCGACGCCCACTCAGAATGCAATTACAACTGGCTCCCGCCCCTCCTGGACCCAATAGCTGACGATTATCGTACTGTAGTCTGCCCATTCGTGGATGTCATAGACTGTGAAACCTATGAGATCCGCCCACAAGACGAAGGAGCCAGAGGATCCTTCGATTGGGCCTTCAACTATAAGCGTCTGCCTTTAACCAAAAAGGACCGAGAGAACCCTACAAAACCGTTCGATTCCCCAGTTATGGCTGGCGGCTACTTTGCAATTTCCGCCAAATGGTTTTGGGAATTGGGTGGATATGACGAGGGATTGGATATTTGGGGTGGGGAGCAATACGAGCTTAGCTTCAAGGTTTGGCAATGTCATGGGAAGATGGTCGATGCGCCTTGCTCCCGTGTAGCCCATATCTATCGATGCAAATACGCTCCGTTTAAGAATGCCGGGATGGGCGATTTTGTGTCCAGGTAGAGTTTTTTTTTCGACTTTGAAAATCGACAAAAAAAAATCGACTGGTGGCCTAGAAAAATCCATTTGCAAAAGTTAGGCCACCATGTCAGAATGACCTAGAAAACATGCCAGATGAATATTTCACCATTTCTAGTCCAAAAAAAGTTGGTGGCCTAAAAAACTCAACCTGCAAAAGTTAGGCCACCACTTCAAAGTTACCTAGAAAACACATCAGATGAATATTTCACCATTTCTAGACGATTTTGACATGGTGGCCTAGGAATATCCATTTGCAAAAGTTCGGCCACCATGTTAAAATGACCTATTTGAAAAATTTGAAAAATCGGAAATATCGGATTTTCCGAAAATTATGACACACTAATTTCAGGAATTACAAACGAGTGGCTGAAGTTTGGATGGATGAATATAAGGAGACCCTCTATAAACATAGGCCTGGAATCGGGAATGCGGACGCGGGAGATTTGAAATTGATGAAGGGAATTCGAGAGAAACTACAATGCAAATCGTTCGATTGGTTCATGAAGGAGATCGCATTCGATCAGGATAAGTACTATCCGGCGATTGAGCCCAAAGCGTCGGCTGAGGGAGAGATACGCCATGTGGCATCGAATTTGTGTATTGATACGCAGTTTAAGGTGATTTTTTGAAATTTTTTAAGTCGAAATTTTTTTAAAGTCCACGCTCTTTCACAGAACATTTCCAAACTGCAAATTAATTTTTGACCTACAGAAAAAAAGTTTGGCGCGATCACAATTGCAGATCTAAAACCATAATTTCAGAATTTTTTATCTGATTTTGTGGAGTTCCAAGATGATTCAAATCATTCTTTAAAAATTAATTAGTGCTTATAGATTCATGTATGGTCCTTTTCCGGAAGAAAAATGTCAAAAATGGTCATTTTTGAAAGTTTTTTACAGAAAAAATCTATCTCCTCTTTCACTTTTTGACATTTCTAGGAGTTCTATTGTCTAATCAATAAAACGTGGGCGCGCCGCAGGTTGCAAAGTGACGTTTTCCACGAAATCCGATTGCTCGCCCAGCCCTGATTTAAACACGGCGGCCTAACTTTTGCAATTTGAGTTTTCTAAGCCACCATGTAAAAAATAGTCCAGAAATGGCCTGATATTCATCTGGTGTGTTTTCTAGGTCATTTTGACATGATGGCAGAACCTTTGCAAATGCAAAAAAAATGCTAGGCCATTTCTACGCCATTTCAGCATGGTGGCTTAGTAAACTCAANTTGCAAAAGTTAGTCCGCCATTGCAAAATGACATAAAAAACAAACCAGGGGCATGCCAGGTCGTTTTGAGACCATTTTAGCATAGTGGCCGAACTTTTGCAAGTTGAATTTTCTAGGCCATCAGCTTATTTTGACACAGAAATGGTCAAAAATTCACCAAGTGTTTTTTCTAGGCCATTTTGAAGTGGTGGCCTAACTTTTGCAACTTAAGTTTTCTAGGCCACCAATTTTTTTTCCAAGAAAATTTGATTTGTAACTTTTCGAAAAAAAATTGTCCAAAAAAAGTTTAGTAAAATTTCCAAATTGTTCCAGGAACAAAATCAACGATTCGGCTTGCGAAAATGCGCATCCGAGGACAAGGACGGTGGTGGTGAGCAGGACCTCCGGCTGACGAGATGGCACGATATTCGTCCGAAGGGACGAAAAATCTGCTTTGACGTCTCAACGAGCGTCGATAAGGCACCAATTATCCTTTTCGATTGGTAAGTAAATTTAGAATTTTTCGAAAACAATTTTCTTAATTTTGACACAATTTTCAAACAAAAAATTCAAAAAAAAATTTCAACTTTTTGACAAAATTTGATCCAATAAAAAAATTTGATCCAATAAAAATTTCCAGCCACTCCATGAAAGGCAACCAGCTGTTCAAGTACCGTATGCCTCAAAAACAAATCTACCACCCGGTCTCGGGTCAATGCCTAACTGCTGATGAGAACGGCAAAGGATTCCTGCACATGAAAAAGTGCGATTCCAGCTCAAAGCTACAGCAGTGGGCATGGCAAACCATCGATCAGGAGCTACTGGATCAACGACAAGCGAACGAGCACAAAGAGCTGGAATAGAGGGCCGAGAACTACATTTTAGGCTTCTTAGGCCTGTATATATTAATTTTTTTTTCAAAATCTGATGATTTTTAACTCGTTATACTTCTATTGTGATGCATTTTTCTGAAAATCACGGGGTTATTATTGTCGGAATAAAAAAAGTGAGACTCGGTGTTTGCGTACTTTGATTCCCGCCTCCCCCCACCGACGCTCCGCCCATCGCTTTGCAAGTGCGGCGTGCTGTTTTAGCGCCACTTGGGAGATCATC